TATATCTCAAATTCCTCAAAATACGTGAACAAATATAGCTGGTTACGAAAAAGCCCTTATAAATTATTTTTGTAATTTTTGTGTTTTATTTGATCTTGGAGACAAAATTATATAAATGAGACAACAATTTGACAAATATTTGAGGGCTCATGCAAAATACAGATTGAACTGCTCTTCATCGGTTCTTACTTCTTGAAAAAGTGCAGAAAATCTCCTTGTGCTCCCTTTGCCTGTGTAACTGAAGAAGCCAACATTGCCTTTTCATTTTATTCATTTTCCCCGTTTTCAATCTCTTACAACTCGTACGAAATGCAAACATGTGCTAGTAACTTAGCTTGATGACTAGAAGCCATGTTGATAGTCGCAATGTGGTCGTGGGGTCGTTCAAGAGACTAACACGCGCGCAAAGTGTAGTGCCCTCCCAAACAAGAGGAGACTCGTACGTCCATGCAACTGGTGATAAAAATTTTAATCCATTTAGGTAATCGGCCAAATTCTTCTGCAATCAATTCCAATAATTCACTTTTGCCATCAACTTGACTTTCATGTAATGCATTAATAACCAAAAGCATTGGCTCTTGATCTTTTAACGAATGCAATGGATCATTCAATAAAACACGGAAGCAGAGGCTTAACTAGAACGTTAATCGCAACATCGAGTCTCAAACTTCTTGCTAATTTTTTTCCTTCTGTGTACCTTTTATTACCTACCTGATGAGTTTTACAATACTTAGCAAACTTTCCAAAAGCCGGTTTTTTTCTGCTACTGTAGGCATTGATTGATTACGTGCATGCAGCTGGTCGACAAAGGTTTCCAACTGACGATCTTATGTTTGTACAATGTTGAAAATGCGATAGCATTACGGTCCAGAGTACTTCAACAGTAAAAATGCCAAGTATAACAACTCGACCATCGATATCATCATAGCAAGCATATTTCCATCTGATGAAAATTTTGGTTGTGAATTGACATGTAATCCAGCAACATCGCTCATAACAAGACTATTTTGGTCAGAGCTAGAATGTATATTAATGCCATCATTGAATGATAGAGTGCTCCACAATTGTATGAAACCATCACATGGAACAGTGGCAACTTGGTTTGTTAATGATGGGTTGAATACTATCCACATAGGACCTGACGGATAAACATCACATTCAAGTTCAGCAATCGTTTGTTGTTTTACCATAGATAAATGATACACTTTTCCAGAACCATCCAACAATTTGCAACCAACTGCTAAGATTTCACTGTCAGAGGAAAAGCCTATACTTGAAATGAATTCAACTTTCTTGAGCATATTGTTATGAAATGTAACATGTTTTCTTGTAAGTTTGTTTTTTAGAAAAGTGTACACCTTAAAATGATACTTATCTCTAATGGTATAATAGTATGAATAAACAGCTAATATTTGTCATTTGGTGATAATGAACAGCATATAGCACGAGAATTTATGCTTTCATGTTTAGGTATGTGAATATAAGAATTGTATTTGTCTTTGCGGCTGGCTGAATTGATTAAATTAAAAGGACTGTCACATTGCCAGATGTCAAGAATTGTATCGGTCATGTATACGTAAATCCTAACAGCCCCATGGTCATGGGCAAAAAAAATCAAAGAATCCATCTTTGCCTAATGTTAGAATTTTTCCACTGCAGTAATGAAAGAGGAATCATCACCACAACAAAATAGTTATCTACCAACCCTTGGACGCATGAACCATCAAAGATACAATTCATATGACCAGCAAGAAGGCAAAAAACTAATGGTGAGGTAATTGATGTTGCAATTGATTGTTGCATATCATCAACTCTTTCGTGAATATTTTGAACATCTTTGGCCGTGTTGTGGAGTTTACTTCACCTGTATCAATAAATGTATACGGCAAAGGCTCCAAAAATCTACTTGCAAAAATTAAGTAGAGCATGCCGATGCAAAACCAACAACCACCACTACAAGTACACTAGGATACAACAATGAAAGACGATCGTAATGGTCACAGAGCATACGCAGGAGAAGGTTGACGACAGCTCTGCCAATGCAAATCATCGACTTTGCCAACCAACCATATGGTGCTTTGTCACACACTAGGTCAAACTCGCTAATTTATGTTTCTTTCGGTCCTTCATAATCGACATACTCATATTTGCTTCTGGTTTTTCAACACCGGAAAATGTAAGCAATATCTCCTAGGACGATGATCTGATGGCGGCTTTTAAAAGATGGACTAGATGTGAGTTGGAATCTCATCAAAGTCACATTTTTTTTATGTTTATATAAAAACCAGGTTAGGATTAATATTATGTATAAGGCTATTGCTTGAGTTTTTTCCTCCAAAGCATCATGCATATTTGAAAGTATAGCTTTGTTATGGCTTTGGCTTCATGTATACTTAAATAAACCCCATAGCTATAGACTAAACACTCCAAACATCCCACCAAAAGATGCGTCCAAGTTATGGACAGTGTCATAAGCGGCTGATATTGCATGAGGAGCATAGACCAAAAATAGCGACGATTGCTCAGGCAATGCGAACACCAATACGACGTCTCAAAGCAAAATATAGTATGTATCCTATCGCAAGTCGTTCAGCTAATGAACTAATACCACGCGCTACCACCAGCCATTTCGATTGCGATATAGCATAGCCAGTTTACATTTTACAACAAATGGAAATGAAGCAATATTTTCAGGATATACAGATGATCTCTGCGCTGTAGCTATAGTGACAAGTCAACTACTACAGGGTATGTATATCAAATTAATTGGAATACTGTGAGTTAGTGCAGCAAAAGACATTCGTGTGTTGTAAAATCAACAACAAAAGTTGAGTATTTGTCTGTAAAGAAGTAGTCTTTATTAGAAAACTATTGGATAGTATCTCAATAACGCAAAGAAAGCCGACCATCATCTATGAAGACAACCAGGGGGCTTTTGAGCTATCAAGAAATACGAAATTCCACTCTTTTCCACTACCAACATGCAAAGTATATAGTTACACAATAAAAAAAAATTTTGGTTTTGAGTTTCAGATATGTGCAGTACGGGCTTCACAAGTGTGCAAATGCGTAGATAGCACAAAATTGTAGCTCCAATTCATCAATTCATTCTCAGAGAGGCCTTCTGATAGTCTCCGTGACTCATTATTCCCTCTCAGAGAGGCCTTCTGATGGTCACCCTGACTCATTTTCCCCCTCTCAGAGAGGCCTTCTGAGGGTCAACGTGACTCATTTTCCCCCTCTCAGAGAGGTGTCTTTGTGGTTAACCATGACATATAGATTTTTTCTAACATGAAAAAACTAAAATTACGAGTTTTAAACGTAATATTATTTGATCAGGTAAGGATGTTAGCTGGTTGCATAAATCATTCAGAATGCAGCAATTGCACTCAAACATCTTTCTTATGAGAAGGTTCTATCACTGTTTAACACAACGTTGATGTACATATCATCACACTGTGCACGTGCAGGCTCTCATAATATGGCGTTTACCACTTTTGCATTATGAAAAGCTTGTCTTTTAGTTTTGAGCAGTCTGCTGACTGTACAATACAGTCCATACAATGTATAACCATACATCCTGTGTTCCAAGTTCAGGAGTCACACTTGCACTACGAGGATAACAACGAAGTACATTGTTGTTTACCTTTTATGTATGTTTACACATGTCATACACATAATAATGTGATTTATTTTGAAGATTTTATCATTGTCAAACATGTGTCCTGGTTACAAAAGGCATGTTGATTTGTGGCAACTACATAACACTTCATTTTTCAGCAGGTGCTCTCATGGCCACATTATACTTGGAAGATAACACAGTTCCCTTTCCCCAACACTTTGAGGACTTAGTAGGTAAACAACACAAGATATACCTGTTATTAAAAAGGCCAACTATCATTCCCAATCAACATGCAAACAAGGATGTTCAACAATTTAGAAAAAACTAACAAATCTTAGAACAAGGGCTTAAACTCAGCAGGTCGTAGTACAAGGCTACTCTACTGCTTACAATACCCCGTTCTTTATTTAAGTCGTCTACAAAGGATTTAGCTTTAGAAAATTTAGACTTTATCAATGCAGTGCTTTGGTGCATAGTCCGCACCGTAGGCACATTGTGACGCTGGAGATGACAAGCATCTCTATTCTAGTTCGCTTAAGCCGTCCAGAGAAAGGAATCGTTGCGTTCTAGCACGGATTCTGATTTAGATGCGTTCAATCATAATCCAACAGATGATAGCTTCGCACCATTGTCTTTTCAGGCAAGTGCATGAGCCAATTGTCTGAATCTGCTGTTCCTCTCGTACTGAGCAGAATTACTATTGCAACAACACTTCAACAGTAGGGTAAAACTAACCTGTCTCACGACGGTCTAAGCCCAGCTCACGTTCCCTATTGGCGGGTGAACAATCCAACCTTGGCGAATTATGCCTCGCAATGATAAGAAGAGCCAACATCGAAGGATCAAAAAGCAACGTCGCTATGAACGCTTGGCTGCCACAAGCCAGCTATCCCTGTGGTAACTTTTCTGACACCCTATCTTAAAACTCATAAAGACTAAGGGATCGATAGGCCATGCTTTCACAGTTTGTATTCATACTGAAAATCAAAATCAAGTGAGCTTTTACCCTTTTATTCTACATGAGATTTCCGTTCTCATTGAGCTCACCTAAGGACACCTGCTTTATCATTTGACAGTCGTGCCGCCACAGCCAAACTCCCAACCTGACAGTGTCTTCGGCTCGGATCGACCGGTAGAAGAGCGATCTTTATTCCAAAAAGTGGACTTGATGTCCAGCTCCGCTTCACCGAATAAGTAAAAAAACGATAAGAGTAGTGGTATTTCACCGACGGATTGCTCCTCCAACTTATTCTACACCTCTCATGTTCTTTCACAGACTCAGACTAGAGTCAAGCTCAACAGGGTCTTCTTTTCCCGCTGTTGTTGCCAAGCCCGTTCCCTTGGCTGTGGTTTCGCTAGATAGTAGATAGGTAGGTACAGCGGGAATCTCGTTAATCCATTCATGCGCGTCACTAATTAGATGACGAGGCATTTGGCTATTTATTCACTTTAACTTAAGTAATTACATCCCAACTTTGCGATCCTTAGCTTTACGGTAGATGTCAATATCAATATTCATTTGAGTTTCCAATTAATGGGAGGCTGGTTTTAAAGGAAAACGTTGGTTGGTCTTTATGGGTCTATTACTCTGCGTTTTCCTTCTACATTCTAAATAGATGGTAGGATAATCCAATGATGATTTACTCTTTCAATTCCATTGACTTTTGCACGAGGCTGCCACTACCATTTGTGCACACCGATCCATAACCTTGCGCCTGCTACCATATAATTGGCGAGGGCAGCTATTTTCCCGCCTCCTTTAAAGATGTAGTTTTCAGTGAGTCTACACTCAGTGGTGATAGATGAAATATCAAACCCTGAGTGGCGAGGTCGGGTACACCAACCCCGCCTCCTTTAACCATCTACCATTTTAGTTCAGATCTTGGATCGCCCAAATGCCAAAAAATCATAAGAATTGAAAAAAAGCATACATTCAACCTAGTCATCTCTCCCCACAAGCCGACCCACAAAACAAGCAGGAGAAGAGCAAAACCAAAAAGGCACGACCGCAAAATAATAAGCAAATAAACCTATCCTAAATTCTAACAACCTAATTAAAAAAGCTAAAGCATTAGGCCGGTTTTGCCGGACGACACAATAAGTTTACCTTCGATGCCGCTCTACTACCAATCCCTTTTTCTCAGTGGGGAATTGTGTGAAAACCTGTGTATCCCAGATGTTTCCTCACAAATTCCCAAGGAAAGAAGTGAAATACCCGAACTGGACAATTCCAGAACAGACTTCAAAAGTCTGCACTGAGAGGTGACAGTATACCCGCCAATTGGCGGCAACCACAGAAAAGGAAATGTACCCCAGTTGCCTTGTGCACCCATTCCCTAATCTCCGGCTGGTCATAATAGGCGACCTTATCACGATGTGCTTTAACTCCCCCGACCTGGTCGAAAGTGACCGTGATGTCAGCAATGAGAGCCCTTTCCTTATTTCAAAGGACAAGGTCAGGCTTCCGCACGCCCAGAGTACGCCCAATAATCCTAGGCTCGACCATGACAGAGAAGCCAGCTCGCTCAGCCGCAGCCGAAATGAAGTGAACAACCCTATCATTCCTACGAATCCTAGGACAGCTGGTTCTCGCACATACTTGAATGATGTGATGAGTCGTCTCCGGCGCATGCATGTATCACAAAGCCTATCTCCCCCAGCTCTGCCACGCAAATTGCGTGACTTACTTGAGAGGAGCCCATCTCTAGCCTTGATCACAGTGATGATGTTAGCACAAGAAATATTCCAGGGGGGACTACTTACCCAGCGACTTCCCTGCGGGCATGCCCGTGCCTCCGACAAACCTCTCCCATCCACCTTGGTGTGAAAACCAGCAGCCCAAGCATTAAGCAAGGACTGCTTGTCCGTCACCAAGTGCCCAGTGAGAGTGGTATTGGCGGTTTGACTCATCAGTTTTGAAGAAAAGATGAGCCAATCAGGGCTTGTGAAATGGGATCAGCAGCCGAGAGGACGTTTTCAAGTCGCCTCCTCTTCGTTACAGGGATGGCATAACGTAATGAAGAGATTGCGAGGCCACCATCTGCAATACCCCCATAAAAGAAAGCCACTGGAGTGTCACCTGGCAATTTCAAGCATTGGCGTGCATTGGCTCTAACGCTGGTATTGAGCCATTTTAACCAGCAATCGCCTACTGGTGCCAACACGAGTTCGTGCAGATACCTGGGTAACAGAAATTGTTTTAGTATCCTTAACTGCTGGTGGGGTGAGCACCCGCCGATAACACCTTCAAGATCTCATCAGGTGTTACCTGAAAAACAAGTGACCATTGCACCCCTCCAATGCAATCGGTATGTCGTGTATCTTCGATAGATGGTGTCTCAAAGATAGGCTGCCAGGCTCTTCGGAACTCATTAACAGAAGGTATGGATAATGGTTCAGGATTTCTCCATATACCATCCAACACCTTGTGCACAGCCGCAGATGGTTTTCGGCGTACAGATCTGTATAGAACTGTATTGCACACGTATACGTCGGCGCTGATCTAAAATCCACTGAGGGTGGACACAATTAGACTGGGTTGGGGATACAGTTTTCCTCCCTTATCAGCCAAATGAGCCACCCACGACGCAAACAGACTCTCAATTTTATTCCGAATTATCTGGTAAGGGCAACCAGCAACCACCCATTCCAGATTATCAACACTGAGATGTTCCAGTTTGATAGCACAAAGAAGAGGTGTTACCCAACCATCATCAGTAGCGTTGATGTTACCACCATCCTCCAGCTGAGGTTGAACATCCGTTGAATCCACTCTAATGCTTTCTATCATATCACTCCCCTCCAATTCAAGCGATGCCAAAATCTCCAAGTAACGTGGATTTTTTGTACGCGTCAACTTGATGGCTTCAAAAGAGCGATCAGGAAAGCATAAGTGGAGTTCACGAACCAATGCCACTTTGGGTTTATTTTGGCGGATCTCCAACTCTGCCCTACCTACCAACACCAATTCTTCGTGACTCCATCTGCCTTAACCATGCCTACAGGTTGCCTTGAGGCATGGTATTCTTCTGGGTGTGCTGAACTACGATGCACATTTAGACTCCTCTCGCTTGCGAAGGCATTGCCACAATCCGAGCAAACAAATCCTTCCCAAACATTTATTGCAGTGCGCTCTACTGAATCACCGCTTCCATGTTTCCACCTTCGGTGACTCAGGAGCGCACTCAACGTACGGCAGGTCTTCCCACAGTCCTCACCACGTTCACCGTAGATGGCCTGTTGTCTTTGGTTGGCCTAAGCTCCAAGTGAAGACGTATTACAGTGTATAATTTTTTTGGCCAACAATGCTATGGCACTGGTCTATTAGCTTCACCCACAAAAAGACAGTTCTAAAAAGAACTGTGAGTTACTAGTCTTACACACAACGTAGAGGTTAGACCAGTAGGACGAGACTTATACAAACAGAGACTTCCAAATATATGCACTTTAGCAAATATTTAAGCCAATAGAACGCCTTTAACTAATATGTCTTGTCTCTAATTTGTATAAGCACTCGACCGTGTAAGAGAGTCATAGTTACTTCCGCCGTTTACCCGCGCTTAGATGAATTACTTCCCTTTGACATTCAGAGCACTGGGCAGAAATCACATTGCGTCAGCACCAACCACTAGCCATCGCAATACTTTGTTTTAATTAAACAGTCGGATTCCCCTTGTCCGTTCTAGTTCTAAGTTGGTTGTTAATTGCCTGCCGAGTCGACATGACGGTCACAGCCGAGATAATCCACGCGAAGTCCATTCGCAGTCCGACGTAGACACGCAGCAAGCCACGCATCTCCGTCAGTCCACGCCGAAACCTCACGATTCAAGTCCCAGCCCGACAAATCCAACCCTTAGAGCCAATCCTTTTCCCGAAGTTACGGATCTATTTTGCCGACTTCCTATATTGCTCTATCAACTAGAGGCTGCTCACCTTGGAGACCTGGTGCGGTTATGAGTACGGCCAGACGAGAAAATGAACCAATCCCTCGGATTTTCAAGGGCCGTCAAAAGCGCACCGGACCCCACAAGAAGTGTGGGGCTCTACTGGACATGAAACCCTATCTCCTGCTAAACCAATTTCAGGGTAACGTTGTCCGTTAAAAAAGAGAACACTTCCGGGGCTCTCGCCGACGTCTCCGAGTTTGATTGCGTTGCCGCTTGTGCCACTAGGTGGCAGTATCCCTGTTCTGGTTCGGGAATATTAACCCGATTCCCTTTGACAGGCGGTCCTCAAATGGGATGCTTTGTAAAGGAATTTCCCTATCTCTAAGGATCGACTAACCCATGTCCAACTGCTGCTCACATGGAACCTTTCCCCACTTCAGTCTTAAAAGTTCTCATTTGAGTATTTGCTACTACCACCAATATCTACATCAGTGGCCGTTTCACCCTGGCTTGCGCCAAAGGCTGCGTCACGACCACTGCGCCCTCCTACTCGTCAAAACATCGTACTCGCTTTGACGGCCGAGTATAGGTGCGACGCTTGAGCGCCATCCATTTTGAGGGCTGGCTGATTCGACAGGTGAGTTGTTGCACACTCCTTAGCGGATTCCGACTTCCATGGCCACCGTCCTGCTGTCCATATCAACTAACACCTTTTGTGGAATCTGATGAGCGTCGACTTTGGTACCTTAACTCGGCGTTCGGTTCATCCCGCATCGCCAGTTCTGCTTACCAAAAATGGCCCACTATGAGCTCGCATTCGAATGTCCAACTTCAGTTAAGCAAGTTGGACTTCTTACCAATTTAAAGTTTGAGAGTAGTTTAAGGTCATTTCGACCCTAAGACCTCTAATCATTCGCTTTAATTGATAAAACTGCACAAAGAGCTCCAGCTATCCTGAGGGAAACTTCGGAGGGAACCAGCTACTAGATGGTTCGATTAGTCTTCGCCGCTATAAACAAATTGGACGATCAATTTGCACGTCAGAATCGCTACGAGCTTCCACCAGTGTTTCCACTGGCTTTACCCTATTCAGGCATAGTTCACCATCTTCCGGGTCCCAACAGATACGCTCTTACTCAAACCTCTCTGATAGCAGAATAGGTCGGTCGATGATGCAGTCTCGATGAGATTTCTCACCTGAAATGTCTAGGACAGTCTTTACTTTCATTGTGCCAACAGGTTTCAATCACCCGGAGACTTGCGCACATGTTAGACTCCTTGGTCCGTGTTTCAAGACGGGTCGGATAGAGCCGTATGATCGTCAGCATCCTTAACATGTAATGTGCAAACACCAACACGCGACCGACAGCAGTATGAGTGCACAGGCGAGCCGTCCACCACAGTCACATGTCGGACCGAGAAGTTGGGTTGCCAGCAAAGCACACGTTGCAGTGACATGGTTGTCATCAAATTATGCGAATGCAAGGCTTAACACGATAAATTCGTCTATCTTCATTGCAACCTTATCGCTCAACAACAACCAATGCT